GAACGCTACTGATAGTGGAAGAGTAGTCATCTGCAGAAGTCAAATTATTCTTGCCACAACAAGGGAAAATTTCAAGTGAAAATACTGGTTATGTGCCATGAATATAGACAGACCACTGCCCAGCCTGTAAGTCACTCTTTGGAAACCAGGGATGGAAAGTAATATAGGTACATGTATATCCAGCCTGCCATGCTAGGCCTTGTTGGTGTGATTTTCCAAATGACACCACAGAAACTATCTAGGCAGAGGTAAACTTTAGCAGTGACAAAGACCAGGACAGTTTCTATGCACTTAACAGTTAATACGAGCACTTCAATTGACAGCAAAATAATTTGTTGCGATCCTGGGAGGCATCTTCAAGGGAAGAAAATTGCATCACTGTATCTGAGGCGGGTTGCAAAAAGCCTTATTGTTGACTCAAGAAGTCAGTGTCCAATGGCAAAAATCTTAAACTGTCCTGACACAGAAAGAGTTGAACATGTCTCATGAACAAGTGAATTTCTGTGTAGAGTCTGGGTTTCTGAGGACACTCGTAGTGATGGTATTACTGCCATCTGCACCATTATCCTGCCCTTAAACATGCAAGGGAAATTCCTGTGCTTCCTTAACTTCGAGATGGGCTCAATGTCCTGTTGCTCTCTGCTATACCAAAAAGAGCTTTGTAAAATTCTTGTGACAAGAAGGAACCAACTTCATATGTTCTAGGGCCAGAACAAGCATATGTTATTGCCACAGTTCTTACAACAGTGAGCTCTGGAAAGGATGGAGAAGGTGGATTGAAGGTGAGGACAATGAACATGGCGTTCACAGTTTTCTGAAGTCACTTGAGGTCAGTGCCAAAGGACCTGACCCATTGACTGCTAGAGAGTGCAGGAAGGAAAATTAAACATAGTGAGAAATGGCTCAGGCTTACCTCTTCAAAAAGAGCTGATCAGAAGACAAGATCTAACAAATAGCCTGGATAAAACATCATGGTTGTCTTGCTAAAACACCTTAAGGACTCGTGCAGTCTAGTAAGGTCTGTGATGATGGCAATGTAGCAAGTGAATGCATTTTAAAAGACAATATAAAAAAATACATCATAAAATTACTTGGTTCTAAGAGTTGATGTAAAGAGTAGCCTAAGAATAAAGCACTACCTTTGACCAGGAGGTGAGGACTTCTTGAGCATTAAGACCAAACAGTTCTATAGTTCTGGTTGCTCAAAGAAGAATTTTTCAGCTGCCTGTCACATGTTTGCAAGCAGTTGACTTATTTGTAATGAGGCAGTCCCATGGCATAACTGATGCTATAAAATCTGGTTTTGTGTCCCTAACATCAAGTTCTATGTGAAAGAAAGCTTCAAAAGATATTAGTAGGATTGAGTGGAAACCTGGTATTTCTGACGTTGAGTGCCCACACTAGAATGGCTTTCATCCAGGTAGGCATATACTGTGTTTCAAACTCATGCTGGATTTAGTCTGAACATATGTGAAGTGCATTAGCCCACTACTCTAAGCAGGTAGTCTCATGCTATGATGCTGTGAGAGAAAGAACAGTCCTGGCAAACAGGTTCCCAAGGAAAAGAAGGTAAAGGAAAAAAGGGAGGTGTCTGTGATGCTCCTATGAAACACAATGAAAATATTTAAAATATGAATTGTATTGCACCAAACAAATTTGAATGCAATTTTAAGAGCTGAAGGCAGTGCTCAACTAACCGCAAGATAAACTATACCAGATGTTTAAGACCACCTGAAAACATTGATTTTGCCCTGCTGATTTACAGTAAGTGCAAGGTGTTCTGCAACAAAGGGGATGTAAAAGTACCTTAAAGATAATCATATGGCTCTGGTTTTAAAAGCTCGGATGTGTCACTTCTGCAGGATGAATGTCCTTCCTAATCTACAGAATGCACATGGCTCAACGTTCAGTTTATAGCACCCACCACAGAACTTTGGCAGAACCTCACCAGAAGCCCACCTAGAGTACAGCTACGGCTGCACTCCTTTTCACTCTACAATGCAATGGCCAGGGGGGAAGTGAAGAAAATGTACATGAGCTGCATGAACAGCAGTATAGTGCAACATTCACTAACCAGAGAAAAGTCATTCAGTGCCACCTCTGTAATAAGAGCACTCTTGACTCTGATTCCGAGTGCTTTTCTTTGATCAGGGGACATAAAGGACCGCTGGAAGCCCTTGGGGTCTTTCCAAACATTATGAAAAAAGCTGGATGAAAATTCCTAGGAATCACTGGATGGCTCTAAGGGAAGGTTTCTTGTAGGTCATCAGACAAGACCAGTTTCTTGTCTGCCTCACAAGATCTAGGTAAAAATGCAACAAACAGGAAGGAAGAAAGTGTATTTATCCACTTTTCTCTAAGACTTAAGCACAAGTCACAGGACCACACCATGACTAGGACACAGGCCCCTCTAAGTGTCAGTCTGAGCTACAGAGATGGTCAGTCTTGCTGTAGCACAATGAGTGGCATGGGCAGTCATGTCTGACAGCAGCACTGTTCTCCTAAAGTAATCTTGCCCAAGCTTCTTCTCAGGCTTGGCTGATATTAAGGGCTATACAGATCATAGTCATTTTAATAGAATGCAGCAAATGACAGAAGACTAGAAATTATTGTCTCAGGGCTTGCAACTGAAAGCATCTTTCATCAGATTACTAAAACTACACAAAGTCATTTACTTTTCCTACACTCCCAAGACTGACTGCAGGAGGGTCAAAAATCACAGTCCATTTAGAAAAGCTGGAAAAAGTTTCCTAGGGAGCCTTCCCGTACTTTCTAAACCAGCTGTTTAGAAAGCATCTGAAGACACATGGAATTTCATGGAAATGCCACTACACTTATGAAATGTAGGCAGGCTCCAATAAAAAAAATTCTGAGTATCAGAAATCAGTAGAAATAAACAAGCAGAAAAGTCCCCAAGTAATAAGCCGCTCAGATCTCACTCAAGAATTAATTTTTTTTCTGCTCTAGTTAATGTTTTTCTAAGGAATTTTCTAAGGTTTAAACACAGCCTGTCCATAAACTCTCAGCTCCTGTCTCATACCTGTTAATACAGGATGTACTAAAGAGTTAAACAATCTATTCTGCAAACTGGATTTTAAACCTATTTCTAGAGACTATGTTCAGCTTGGCGCCTGCAGACCTGGTGTAATTAAGAAGGCTGATCCTAATCTTTTTAATGCTAAACTTCAAAATACTATTTGCCTGGACTCTTGTAAGCAGTGTGAGCTTATTTTCAGGTTGGATAACTACTTTTATCAGAGGGTGAGGCATCAACACAGTGCACTATGTTGCTCAGAACCTCTAAACTGTATCATACATACTATTTGTGGTTGGACTAACTCACCATTTAGGCCTAGAGGGTTGCATTTTTCAGTAGTCTAGAGGTCTTTTGAACATTTGTTTTCCTGTCTTCTTCTGAGACTTTGGGCCTCATTGAAATTATGGCTAAAACTGTGAATAGCACATTTAGAAAGAGAGATGAGCTGCCTCATACCTTTTGTTAGCTTAAATTACTTTAAGTAGTGCATCGTTAAGCAATAAATTGATATTGGTCACTTGCTAGGTCTGCAAACTATTTGCAAATTAACAATCATCGATAATCTAAAACTAAAATCTAAAGGAACATATGCCCAGGTTTTCACATAATATTGTACCTCAATATTATTATTTAATACCAGTTCAGAGTTATAATACTATGCCATATCCTACACAGTGGTTGTATGCTGGCCTGTGGTTAAGAGGATGCTTTGTCATGGGTGACAAGATACAAGTGATATAGAAACTTTGTTAATGTTGTCACCTACTGCAACTATTAGCCCAGCAATCAACTAAATATTCAAAGTGGGTCTTCTAGTCTCCTAGAGATGGTCACTCCAGATAGATGTGGATGCTTACAGCCAGAGCCAAAGGCCATCAGGACAGAGTCTGCAATGGACACAGCAGTTTTAAGAAATGAAATAGCAACCCAGAGGAAAGGCAGCAGAACCTTGTCCTGCCAGAGTTTCTTCTGTGGGTGAAGAATCCCTGTCATGTAAATGGTCCATTGGGTATATCTCACCAGTGCTCACTATGTTAAAAATCTGGTGGAATATGTGGCGAGTAGGGCATCAGAATGAAAAATGAAGAGTAACGAACCACCTGAAAAACTCTAAACTGCTAGCATCATTCAGCAGTCTGTGCTACTCTGTGCTCTTTGGCACATGAAGAGTCTGGCAGAGGTCCAGCCAGTCTACCCTATCTATTCCCAAAGGGCCATTCTCACTAACAGCAATAAATGTAACATGAAGAAGACAAGCACAAGGGTGCACAATGGGTTAACTGAGAGTAGAAGCTAAAGAATTATCTTTGTTCAATGTACTTCCTAGTCCCTTACACTCTCAGGCTCCAACAACACAGAGAAACAAGCCATGCCTTAGTCTTGAAAGAAGAACATACGGTAGCTCACTAGGG